AATGCAAAGCAGTTTCTCCAAATAAGTCTCAGATTAACGGTAAAATATCTACAAAAACGATGGCTATTTTCTCAATTATTTCAATAAAAATTGTGATCGTAAGCGTTTTTACATATTACATAAATTTACAAATTAATAATCTTCACATTTATTTCTTTTCCTCAAAAGAAAACAAATTCTATAACATGTGCTAGACAGTATAATATACATACATAGATATAAGTACAGTGAAATACTGACCACCATCTGATTTACAGGAAATTTAGGATTATTTTTCAATCAAAATTTGTTGTATATATAATCACACTGAATAATTCAATTTCACAGCTCTTTTTGCTATATTTCTATTTTATTTGAGGTGTAGTATAAAAGGACAGAGCATAAATTTGTTAATAATAAAATTTAAATCCATTTCATTGTTCTCAAAAAGTCTTCAAATAGTCATAAATTGCTATAAGGTTTTCCTCTATATATTTTTTTCCTGTAGGCAAACTATAACAGTTGCTTTATTATACCATGAACACCATTTTTAACTTATTAATCAATAAAACAAAATTTCCTCTAATAGTTCCTTCGCGTGGTTATTCAATCATTTCTTTGATAGACTCTTGTATTGTGCTTGAAGGAAGTAACTTGTTAAATTGCAAGCTTTAATAGACGTGTTCTGTCTTGAGTTGAGACGTATTTGGTAGTTTAGTTATATTTTTAGCATAATAACTATATTTTTAAAAATATGTATGTAAAAGTAATAAGAGATTTTTTTATATTAAAACAAATAAAATAATCCCTTATCTTTTATCAAGCGACCTCTTACGTATAATAATAATAATAAAAATAATAATAATACATCTTGCGTATGTATATATGTCAATCAGCAAATAGTTAATATAAAAAAATCTTTTTTACAATCATCCCAGCAAATAGGAATAAAAGTGTTTGAATGGTAAAGAAAATAGAGTTTAGGAATTGAAGGAGTAAAATATAAGTCATAATTTTACATATAATGGTCCGGTTTCTACTTTAATATATTTTCTTTTATTTAAAATGCTATAAAGGTAACCTGAAAAAAGTATACGCTAATAATAATCAACTTTATTTTGATAAGTCATAAAAAACTGGTCTTTGGTAGTAATTCTCATATATTTTTCTCATGGCTTTTATTATTCCTTACATAATTATTTACGAGTTTTATGAATACTTAAATGTCGGCTATTAATATAATATAAGAATCCTTATACGAGTCACTTGACAAAAGGTATTGTTTGGAATTAAAGTGAATCTTGTATTGATAAAATTCAAGCTCGTCTGTGAACAAAGGGAGGAAGATTCGCGAAAAATGTTTTCACGCTTCGTATGAAATGAGCCTGTAGATCATTTTGTGTTTTCTCTTAAGATTGAAATGAATATGTTCAAACTGGAATTAATTTTGAATTCAAACAATTATATCATTATTTTCTGTAGCTTCTTAATAAAATGGCATGTACAAATTAAAAAGTCCAATAAAATTCTAATCTATGTGAAAAATTCGTTTCATTTATAATTTTATTCAATATTGGACAAAAAATTCAAGTTAGCTATTAAAAATTTTTCCTTTTAACCTTTACCTAAACTCTAATATATTTTTTTTTATTTAATGTAAATTATTTAATGTAAATTATTTAACATTCCTGAAGTTCAATATCAGTTATATGAAATTGAGTGACTATAAGAGCCGTCCTTTGGTAGGTAATAAAATTTATTCAAAAATATTTCAGAGTCTTCTAGAATAAAATATTATATTAACACAAAACCTTTTAATATCGCACAATGGTTATTTTAAATTTGAAAGTAAATAAACACCTGTTAATTTTGTTTGAAGTCATCATACTAGGTTTGAATTTAGGATTGTCAGATTTTTTATAAGTTTCTTATAAGAAAATTCACAACATTCAACATTATAACCAATATGTTATAATTTTATCTCAACTTATAACTTTTTATGTAACTTACGTAATTAAAAAATAAATAAAACGATATTTAACCATCAAAGATTTTGTTAGTAAAAATAAATTAGTATTACCTTTTAAATTAGCACCGTTAAAAAAGAAATAAAAATACATCATTATTTTTAGATATATGTAGTATTTATTTGACTAGAAATTCTTGAAGAACATTTATAGAATCTGTCTGTCTTCGGAGCTTATTTTTTCTATAGAAAACATTATATACAATATTGTTATAACAGTTATAAGTAAGTAAGTTGTAATTCCTAATAATTTATTAAACATAATTTTTATTTCATTTAAAATAGAAAAACGATGGTCCTAATTTATATTTTATATACAAGACAAATTCATTTATGTAAATAAAAATCACAATAATAAAACCTTTTTATGACATCACGAGTGGATAATCCTTAAATATTTTAACGTTGAATAACTATTTATAGTAGTTATTTAAAACACAATACCTTTTTATTCAAATAAAATATTTTACATATCTTAGGTTTAAAAAAATACTGCTTATCAGTAATTCTAATAACAAAACAAGGAATTTTTATAGAACTTATATTAATATTATAATTAATATTACAGCATTTTCTTCACTTTTACTTTTAGTAATAAAAAATAGTTGTGTCCTTACAACTAATGATTTTTATAGGGAAAGAATGATAGTTTTATGTCAGCTTTTAGGTAAGATAAGAGAGTAATCAATCAGAAGTAGAAATTAAATTTTGGGTCATTACATATTGTATTTGAATACCATTTTATATCAAACATCATTTCATATGACAGTTGCTTGAAACAAATAGAGCATTAAATAGAACATGTTTGATTTGAGGATGTTAACAAACCGACCAAAACAATCGAATATTCGGTGATTGATTAATAGTATTCTCTAATTACAAAGCTGTTCCAAATAATGTGAATTTAGTTTAAAGCTAAAACAAATCGATGGTTCACCGCTACAATATAGAGGTAATTTATAATTAGGTGAGTTTGAATGATTCCTATTAAAATACAAACGAATTTATATCTATAATCAAATTCGTCAAGGTTCAAATGAAATATTTTGGTTTGAATCTTATGTTAAGTATAGATATAAAATATAAATGTACCCGTAGTCAATATGATAGCAATACTTCAATTGACACACAAATAGTCATCACCACCTCTATAAAACAGAATTAAAATGGTACAAATGAGTTTTACGATAATGTATAAATATTTTTATATACATTTAAACATTTATGTTCTTTTGTTTTTTGGAGATATGTGAAATGAAGTCCCATAAAATTTAACTACCGTATACATCTACCATAAAGTAGGATATTTCAATAAGAATAAAACAGACGTATTATAATACACACATAAACAGAGTAATATATACACACATGCAGGAAAATAGATTTTATGTACAGTAAGACATAACATTTACAAAAGATAACGAGTTACATCAATTTATACAATTATATTTAATAATTATAATAATATCATTAGCGCTTTTCCCCCATTTGTGTAATTTATTTTCTAAACACTGGATTTTTTGAGAAACTTTGGTGGATTTTTTACGTGCAAAGCTTAATTCTACCAAAATTGGAAAGAACAGTCTACTTTCTATTATATCGCTATCTTATATCTAACATTTTCTATAAATTGCTTGGAAGAATATCAATGATATTTAGTACATTGTGTATGATAAACTTTAACAGGACGATTCAATTAATATGAATACAACTGTTTTTTGGTATTATCCGAAACATTAGGAAATTTTCGACTTACAATTAAATTCAAAGATTTTAAAGCAATGCCATTTTATAATAAGATATTTATATATTTAAAAATATACTATTTTTCAAGAAAAGAACCACTTCTGCTTTCTTTGTTAACCTGTTCTTTATGTAAATGTATGGAGTAGAGTTGAGAAATTGATTCTTAAATTATTATTAATTATTCATCTTCAGTACAATTCGTATCCAATATAACAATCTTAATGAAATACCATTCTGATTTTTCTTCAATTAACTTACGTGATTAATTTATTAGATATTACACAAAAACTAAAGACAATTTTGTTATTTTATTAAGTCTATAAACCCTATCGTAACTTGAATAAGGATACCTTATTTAATTAGCGGAAAGTTGGCAGGTGATCCCTCATCTAAACTAATAAGATTAAAGGGTAAAATGAATTCTACGGAAGATTTTCGTTAATATGTTATTTATTTTTATACTCTGTTATAATTATTATTGGAAAACTCTTTGAATATGTTTATTTAGGAGATCTAGCAAATATTAGACTCTTGTGTTTACAGTAGAAAAATATATTTAACTAAACAATGATATAATTTATAGAAATGGCATATAAAATGTAAATTGTAAAGTTTATCAACAATGTAATGGAAAATATTGGGAATAGTTACAGGGTTGGAAAGTACTATGTTCACTCGTAGATTTTCAATACGTTAAATACCTTACATATTATTGCTTTACCGAAAATATTTTCTCTAATTATTATAAGGACTACACAATAATAATTAATATTTAATTTACATCTACTACTTCAAAGAATATGTTTATAAATACTTACTAATAATATCTTTATAATACTGATATATTCAATGGGAAAGAATATGAGTATAAATTCAAAGTTTTCTCTAATATAAAGTATGTACAATATACATATCATTATAAAACATTTTTTAATTTAAAGTATCACAGGAATATTAAAATTTGACAAAAATAGAACAATAACTGTATTTAACGAACAACTTAAGACAATATTATGATCACAATACTAGAAAATAATAATGAGCATTAAGTTTTTTACAATATAGTTTAAATATTGCATATTTTTTCTACAATACATAAGAAAAGCACTAACATTTATTTATTAATAGCTAGCTGATATGTGTACGCAACTAAGAGAATTAAAATTATAAAGCAGTCTTTACACGACATCACTTTTATCGAGTAGCCCATTGTTGCTACTCCCGTCTTCATGTCAAATGTGATAGTCCCTTAAGGGCTTAACTGATTCAGCCGAGGATCTTGGGGTTGGATCGACACCTGATAGCCCAAGTGAACCACTCCTTCGTACAACCAAAGTTTTCGTACCATAATCCGTAACGAAATTGTCATTCCTAGTCGGTGTGTGAGCTCTAACTGTTTGGTAGCCGCAGCAAGGCGGATATTTGGACGTGAGAATTTTTTTGAACGCCTCCCGGAACTCTGTGTTGAATATGGAGTAAATGATTGGGTTGAAAGCGGAATTCGAATAGCCGAGCCACGTGAGGATTTTGAATGCAAGATCTGTGAAAAAATCATTTACTTTAAATTCACTGATAAAATACGTAATAAGTGACGTGCAAAGGTGTGACGATTGTTTAAAGTGATAAGAATTTCAAAGTACCCTCTGAAATAAAATTGAATCTGAACTCTGTTACATCACGATAAAAATTTATACATATGTAATTATATCTGACAAAATTCTGCGATCGTCGAGATCATTCAGCTTTCATAATGTTTCATAAATTTTTTGATCCTTTATTTTTGAAGTGCTAGACAATTAGTTATTTTCCTTTTTGTAATTATAAGTAATTGGATTACATAGAGCACATTATAAATAAAAGCCATTGAAAATATTAAAAATTATTGGTAATCCTATTTTAATTATCACAATCTCACATTAGCAATCGATTTTTACCATCATTTGTCCTATAAAATTTATTGTTAAGGGTAAGTCCCAAAAAAGCAGAGGAACGTAGATATAAAATATAGATATTCGACTAGTTGCATTGAATATTTTGTACAGCGAAGATAAAATTAATAAAATTTATGTCCTATTTCTTGAAACATGAAACGCTTATACGATTTAAACATAGTTATTATCGGAATTAATAACGGTTATGGGACCCTTAACCCTCCAGAATAAACGCTACAGTTTCCTAAAGCTTTTTGCTGTACCCACTCATGTTGCAATTATATTTCAGCCCTTAATTATTAATGGAAATCATTTACAGAAACCTTTAATCGTTTGGATCTTTTTATAATATGATTGCCAATGAACAGATCCGACGAGACTAATAATAATTGACCTAAATACTGACCCCGCAATTAGGACATCTCTGACGTCGCGAGTTCCATCAATAATTTCTTATCACGATGATGCATGGTTTCCGTCATTTGTAATTGAAAAAGTTCTTTGTTTTCTTACTTAATGTTTTACTGCACTGACGAATACCTATGCTAATCTGAAGGTACAGCTAAATATTTACCCACATATTGAATATTTTCACTAAACTTTATGTTAAAAAAAATTACATCCGTCTTGTGTAAATAATATGTAAACTTGACGATGAAAAATCATATTTAAAGATTATATCTTTTGAAAATTAAAATGAAATCTATTTAACGCAATTAACTGCTTATAATTATAGGACACTTTTTTATATATCCGAATAAATACAATTGAACAAATAAAAAATGTTTTATAGTAATTTGAAAGAAAGTAAATATTAAACAGATAACAAAACCGCTGTAAATGTTTCACTTTACAAAAGTTCGTAATTCTACCCTCATGGAGGGTATAAACTTTCTTAATTTGGATTCGTAAATAACACAATGGCATAACAAATAGAAACTTTTCTTGTTATGATTACTCAAAAAAAGTACTTGATGAAAATTTTCAAATTTCCGACGCCTAAAAAGTACGCAAATGACTTAAGGCAAATGTTAAACTCTTAGGATAAAAAAACCATAGAGAATATTAGAATAGCCTATAAATACTCAGTAGCAATGGAATAAATAATAATAAAAACAATATTGACTCACCTGGTATACAGGTTTTGCAGAATGCAGCGACGATATTGACGCAAAAGAATGGCACCCAACAAAGCAGAAAAACTCCCATGATGATACCAACTGTGATGGCAGCCTTATGGTCCGAAACGTGGTAGGGTGATGAGTGCACATGTGTGTGAACACGCGTGCGGACAGATTTCGTTCGGTTATCCGGCAACTGAACCGTCCTTGTAACAGCTCGGATGGATTTGACGTGCTTCTGGCGTAGCAGTATAATCTATGATGTAAAGGTAAGGTTTCACTTCCTTCAAATCGAGATTAATATTACTCGATACTTAGGTAAATTAAAAGTAAAAATACCGAGTAATTTTCTATAAACTAAATTAAATAAGAGCTAACCACAAAAATTGCAGTATAAGCCATAGAATATTTATTAATTAATTATAAATTACGTTATTCATGTAGACAATAAAATCATAATATTGTTATATAAATACAATGCTTTCTTGTGATTGTTCTTAAATTTGTTAATTAAAAATTATTCAGAACTTTTTCTTTTCAGAGTGTTGACGATGAAGTAGGCATTTCTATTTATTTAAGTACAAAAGTTATCAAAGCCCAGAGATTACTTTCATAAACTTTTATGTAGTCTGAATACGTTTTCAAAAGATGCTTGCTAATTCTCAAACGCAAAAATTATTATTATAAATTTTAATTTGCTAACGAAGTTTACTTCAATACTATGAAATTTTTGTTTTTATTAGTATTAAATTATTTTAATTAAATTATAAATCTATTTTATATGAAGTTTTTAAAGTTAAACGTTATGAAATAACTTTAAACTCTCTCTAAAAATAATGCCTTAGTTACTTACTTATTTTCACACATTAATGAAACTATAACAATTTTTAGCATGTGGTTAACCCAACAGTAATTGATATGAAATTTGCTAAAATAATTGGTAAGTCTAATATCACTTATAAATACGTCAATTACTTAAACTAGGTTAATGGTATATTGCTCTGCAAAATTTAGTTCATTCGGAAATTACTAGTAGTTTTGAAAGCCGATAACTCACTAAAACCGAATAGTTTGAAACTTTAAAAAAATGCTGACAGACTGACTGTGAGGCATTAAAATTGATTTCAAATACATTTTTCTAATTTAAAACAAAAAAACAACGTATTTATGAACAGACGAAGTTTAAGAAAGCAACAATAAATTATTATAATTGACTTTTCAGACATCTGTTTTATAGCAAAGCACCGTTAAAAGAATTGGGCTCGAATGTATCAATATATATTAAACAAAGTAAAAGTGAAACTCACCTGCAATAAATACTGATCATAACTATGCATGGTAGTATAAACGATATACAACTTGAAACCACGGCGTAAGTAGGTGTTAGCACTAGAGCGCATGTCGGGTGTGATGGGTGGTCGGTTGGAGCAGTAGTCTCAGTCGGCGGGCGATGTAAACCCAGCGATATTGGTAGGAAACTGACTAACACAGCCAGTAACCAGATGAGAGCTATCGTTACTATCGCCACCTTCCTAGTAACCCAGCGACCATATCTGGAAAGAATTTATAAATATTAGTAATAAGAATAACATATTGAATTTATTAATAAATAACTAATCACACACAAATTATGATCTTTAAAATGAACATATAAAATATATAGTGTTATGTACTACATATAATTGAAAACTATAATCTAAAGGCTAAAGAAAACAAACAGCATTATACTTATATATGTAGTATATTAAAGCACAATAACCTATAGAAAAAATCACATTAACTAGTGGAGTTCATTTTGTTTACTTTTATACACTTAAAAAATTTACATCAGCACCTCATCTACTCTTTAAACATTAAGGGTCTGTTGAGATGTTTGGCGCATTTCCAACGCTATAATTTACATTAGAAACCGAGCATGTTATATTAAAGTTATCAATAATTTCACCCTCGTTCGCATTACATACCTGAGTGGATCCTTAATATGTATATATCGGTCGAGGGATATAGCGCAGAGGTTTAATATGGAGGCCGTAGAACACATGACGTCACAAGCGACCCATGTGTCGCAGAACTGCTCACCGAACACCCAATATCTATATAAAATGAGGCCAATGAAAACTTTTGCTTTTAGTCACTTTCAAATTATTACATAGATTTTTGTTACTGCAATTCGTCTTAGTGTTTTAATATAATTCAATATGGAAAACAAGTCTATTATTTATATGATTTTAGAGGTGTATGGATAATAATTTATTAATGTTATAGATCAATTAATTACAAAGGGAAAACCGGACTTTAATATTTACATGAACTTTTTGCATTTCTGTTAGCACGGTTCGCTGATAAACTTTATTAGAAGGTCACCTCTTTTTTGTTTCAAATATTATGAAAATAAATAACTCTTTTTATTTTGAATAGCTTACAATTTCATATATAGGAGTGTATGGAATATATTTTTTTTTACATATACATATATGTACAGTTTAAAAGTATTTTAATTATATATACATTAAAAATTTCTATACTCCATTTTTTTTTTTTATTACCTTCATACACTTCAACAATCAGTTTTGCCTTAGTAGATTTCGTTAATATGAATTCAGTCTTTTATTTTATAATTTCAAACGATATTTTTATCATACTTCATAATTTATTGCTTCATTTGTGTTTATTACTTGATACACATTTGAAAACAAAACCCTAGTACAGTTTCTAAGAGTATATTCAAGTTTTAAGGTATTTCGATAATAAATAACACTGTCTTATTCTTATATTTAAGATACATTACTGTAAAGTTTCGTTAAAGACAATAATATACTCCTAAATTAATACATGCGTTCCTACATACATCCATACATTTACGAGGGTCAAACTGAAAGTTCTTAGAACTGGCCACGTATAAACAAAACTTTTATAATAAAAAAATAATTCTAAAATTTGAAAATATAATTCTTTGCCAATATTACTGAGTATATATTTCATATACTTGTCATTTGTTTTACGATTTGGTGGCAAATTGAAAATTGTCTGTGTCACGTCAACATGAATTTAAGACGAGAAAATTTCCGTGCTATGATTTTTATGACTTTAGATGTCATTTAAGTCAACAAGAAAGTTATTATAGACTACGATTGACCTTTCACGATGAGGCCCCACCTCGTGCGACTGTTTACAACTGGTTTAATGAGTTTAAACGTGGTCGCACTAATCTCAATGATGATTTACGTGAGGGACGGCTTTCTACGGCGACGACTGAAGATAACATCTGTGTTGTGCGGCGTATGATAGAGACTGACAAAAGAGTGACCTATCGTCAAGTGACCTAGTCAAGTGCACGTGCACAAAAATTAAAGAAAAACTTAAAGGAAAGCGGTTTATGAATGCTGAAGAAGCGGTGGCTGCGTATCGCGATGCCATTGAAGAGACCCCTAAGGACGAGTGGGCAAACTGCTTTTCCCAGTGGTTCCATCGCATGCAGCGGTGTATTGACGCGAATGGACAATAATTTGAAAAGATATAATAAAACTAATAACTGGATATTGTAATCAGTTTTTAATTTTCTAAGAACTTTCAGTTTGACCCTCGTATACGTCCGTACATCTTTTCATTCATACATTGTATATCAAGAAATATTCACAAACATTTAAATTTATTGCCCATATACATAGATATGAATTTGTATGTCTACAAAATATTTTGGTCAACCCAAATTTAAAATTCAAAATATGAAACCCGTAAAGCTTTATGAAATTAGACAAATTAGGTAAATGGCATAATGCATATTTAGCTATAATTCTAAGTGACCGGTTTTATGGACCGTTGCGTTTTAATTAGAATTATATAAAGTCGTTTGTATGGGATTTGTTGAGGATAATAGGATTATCATATAAATGAACAAAACATAATTCATAAAACATAGAAATATGCATTTAAAATAATACCATATTGAAGAAGATACTGGAACCAATAAATACTTTAAAAAAAAACCAAGTCTTTAAATGATAATCAAATGAACATATTTTAAAAATCTTTGTCGAAAAAATTTTATTTTTTTAGATGTATAGAATAAAACTGTTATTGATTTCTAATATAAAAGCTAATTGTTACATGATATTCTTTATCGTTCAACAAAATATAGAAAAATATACAAAGAATACGACCAAAGAATGTATAAAAATAGATGAAACAAAAGGCGATCTTATCGTCAAGTGGTGATTTCCTTCAGACAACCTTAAGGCTAGAGAATATTTAAATTGTTGAAGTAGAGTAAGATAATAATAATTGAATAGTCACACATATCATGTGTAGGCACAAATATATAGCATATATAATAACATATAATAAATATTATTAAATAAACTGAAATATATTAATAGGAAAATATTCATATAGACTAAAGAATAACATGTTTATCTATGAGAAAAATATAAAAAGTATGTAATATCCGTATAAGATTTTCAAAAATAAAATACTTACTTTAAAATTTATTAAGATTTAGAAACCATATATAAAGAGTAAAGTAAATAAGTAAAATGATTCATAAAAACAGCTTAGAATGTGGAAGAAAGTATGTACAGATACTTGTTATATGAAAAGAAATAGAAAAGAATTTCGAGTTTTCTAGTAAATATAGGGATTTGGAATATTGGTAAAGATAAGGGTAACTAAGGATCAAATAACACACACACACAATCCAGAAGGTAAATTATATATAAATACCGGCAGTAATGTATGGATAGCTACTACTAGACCTTGTTCTAAAATTTTGGGAATTAGTTGTTCTTTTGTAAACCAAATATTGCATATGAATAATTTTATCATGTTTTTGAGATGCTTATATTAACTTGTTTGCCCTAACTCAAATTAACTCTAATGAACCCTAAGTCAGCATAATCAATTATCCAAGGAAAAAGAGAATGTTCCTACACATTTTCTTCAACCCAATCATTAACAGATCCATTCAGCCAGCCAAGAATTTTATTACAACATCTATTTCATAAAATTTTCAAACATACCCTAGTAAATCATTGACTCCAGCAAAAGTCATAACAGCAGCGGCGACCAACATATCAGCGATCGCCAGCGATGCTAGGAACAGGTTTCCAATTCTTCTTAGCCCCCTGTCTGTATATATTGCTATACAGACTAAGATGTTGCCGGCTGCACTCACGAATATCAGTAGTGAAAGGAATATGCCTACAAAAAAAAAACACAGTTAATACTGATTAAGATTTTCAATAAAACTATGAATCTCGTAACTTCATCTTTTATTTGTTGTTTAAATTACACAGTTGAGAAATAAAATATTATTCAGTGATTGAAGGCGTACATGTAATTACTTTTCTTTTTACGTGGCCCTCTAAATGTAAGTCAGAAATTTATCAATTTTCATTAACTTAATTAAAATCAACATACCGACAAGTAATATAGATAGCAAAGTGACCGCATCGGGGTCCTCTGCGTCTTCATATTCCACTGTGGTTTCATTAAACTCCAGCGTCGCCTTCCACATAAAATAAAATAAAATCTTACTTCCAAAGAATTATATTTTTTTATACCAAAATTAAACCTTTTGTTTTCGTTTTAAAGATTGTTCCTTTTATATTTAGGGTCAATGTTTAACAAAATTTTACATTTATTAAAAACATATATAACAATATGCATTTTCTTCTTGTACATTAAAGAAATTAAAAAGTTAATGAAGTTAAATCAATAGAATTAGTTACCAAGTTTACAAGTTAGCTAGCCAGTTTTCATTTAATACTCATAGAGCGCGACTTTAAATGAAAACAGTGAACATACAAAGCTTACATTGAAGTCGTTAAGCAAATAGCGCCAAAATACGGCACTGCTGTATAACTAATTGCAGCACTTTTTGATCATTGAAAATTGTGACGTATCCCAAAGTAATGAGGTTTAAATTAAGTTATAAACACTCCAGTTAAATGCTTAAATCATGCCTTCATAAATATTCAAAAGCTGCCTTTCATTCACACTGATCGTCCGTTCATCTGCTGATGTTACATTGATTTAGTTTTTGATACCCGAAAATTTATTAATTATTCTCATTATTCATGTATCGTAAAACAATATAATTAAAATTTATGTCGTCAGTTTATATTTTATCCGAAATACACAGCAATTACTGTAAAAAAATATTCATACACCTAGCTACATATAAGTACTTTATAAATATACGTAGGTAAGTAAGATTCTCCTATACCGTACTGTATACCGATTGTATTAAATCATATCGTGTTTGAATATTATATAGAATGAAACATTGTTAATCATTATTTAATACTGAAATAATTTGCATTAGATAGAGTATTTTTTAATTAATCATATTATGCTTAAGAAAATAATCTGACAACAATGTAGCAATTCTAGCAATAATTGAAATTGCTGTAGAAACTTTTTCAGTACTTCTAAGCTTTCTCGGAATAATTTAATGTAATAGTATATGTTTTTTTTAATGAATATGCATTAAAATTTTGAGTAAAACATAATAAAAAGTTTTTTAAAATAAATAAAAAATAGATGCTAGTGATAGGTTATTTCAGAAAAATTCATTAAGATTTTTAAATATTGTATTGTAACTTAAAATAAAAAAACGCGTTTACACAGAAGTTAAAATTGGAACGCTTGGGGATTTCACCAACTTTGAATAACGTTTTTAATATATGCTACATGACCAGTATTTCGCAATTTCACAGGTCAATAAAACTTTGAACAATTGGTTGAGTTTTAATTGGAGAAATAGTATCGTTTGTCTTTGATTAAGGAGGAATAGCCGACTCACAGATGTCATTACTGAGTTGATGCTTGTAGCTTTGTTTCGCTAACCAACGTAATTCTCAATTTGCATTGTGGCTATTGTTAAGACGAAAGGACCTCTAGCTGTATGTAAATACTGATTCTGACTTTCAAGAACATCTTAGCTCAGAATGTATGTACTGATATTGATTTACCGTTTCACGTATGTAGTTCAGGCCTAAGATAAGTTGTTTTGTGTACATCTAAGCTATTTGGAACAGATAGTTCTTTGATAATATTAGCATCTTAATCACACTCAGACTAAAAAATCAGAAGTATATAGGCTTATTTTGTGTTTTTATCGTTTAATTTTTTTTTATCGTTTGGAATTTGAAATATTACTAATATTTATTTCAGTTTTTTTTTTAATATACAACATTCTAATCTATTAGTTTTACTTCTATACGTTTACCTGTACAAAGGATAATTTATAATTTATTCAATTTACTTACATACGTAGGCGAAACGAAATTGAAATCCATTTTAAACTACTCTTTCACCATGCTGTGCTCAGATTTTTGTGTCAATTTTCCACAGGAAACTCTGCATTTGATTTCTCAACCAAGCAACATGGTGCCCCATTTTGCGGTCACATGTCTGAAACAATAAAAAATAATATTAAGTTTTTATAACACTGATAAGTACGATTTTATTTTTAATAGTTTATAAAATAGATACATTTATTAGTAAAAGTGTATACATTTATTACTAAAAACAAAATGAAAATATAATCAAATAAACAATAAAAAAAAATGATAATTTTTATTTAATTCAGCGATTTCGTTTCATAACATAAAGACTAGACTAGACTTTAAAAAGCGATGGATTTGAAAAAGCAATAACATATTTTTTCTTAATTTTTTAATGTTTTTTTATTAGCTGATTTATTTGCACAGTAATGAACACTATGAAAGTTAAATTGATAGATAATAATGGTACTAGGTATTTCATAAACACATTTAGTACTTTTCGGACAAAATTTATGAAAATATCTATATGGCTAGATATATTTTCACATTTGACCTCATTCGTGATATAATTATGTGGAATAAGTACTTTCATTTATAAAGCCTTTTTAAAAGCTTCCATTGAATCTTTCTTATGCTTTTATTATGGCATGCCTTTTACAATTCGACGCTATAAAAGCGCCAGTCACGGTTTAGATTTTTTTATTATGATCCAAAACAGAGCTTAATATTGAATGGCAATTTTTTATACAAGACTGCAGATTATTCCATTCATTTTGGAATATATAGAAAAGATATTATAAGAAGACTCTTAGAAAGTGTATTTTTATTTTTAGTCAACGGATTTAATAATATAAAAGAACCATTTTCAATTCTCTGCGTTGTTGCGATTCTAAATCATCTGCGAAACTATCCCGAATAACACTTTATATTGCTTCCTAGCAATCTCTTACCGCATACCGCACACTGTAAACGTTTTAAAAGGTATTCCGTTTACCTACACAAGATAAATTATATTGCGCTGGCAGTACAAATTTATACAAAAATGTATTTCATTAAAATTTAGAGTAATGTGAATTAATTTAATCTGAGATTTTCGATATATATTTCTGTATCAACAATTAATCTAACAATCTAGATTTAATACATATTGAATGAAACACTTATCCGTATTACAATTTGTCATTTTCTCGAATATTTTCCTTCATTCCATTTCACATTATGAAGATTCCGATAGCGTCAAGACCTCGATTGGATTTGCATAAGTTTTTCGGTGACTCAAGTACCTAAACAATTTGCCACGAGATTGTACGAATAACTTACGGAATGGTGTCCTCAATTCCATCACAGTATAAAAAATACAGTTCTCATTTATATTTACTCGACTGAGAATGGGGCACATTGAATAATAATATTAATAGAATTATTAAATGATAACTAGCTAACTATACAACTTAATATAATATTTAATATTGAATAATGATATCATATTACTTCACATATTATACCAGAATAAAGGAAGATAACATATCCAGTAAGTGATGAAAAAAAAAACAAGAAAAAAATTCAGATGTCTTTAAAGAAATTATAAAATATGTCTAGAAAAAACAGAGTAGCCAAAAATACCTCTTTCCATATTTTTAATTAAGATCAGAGCCGAAATACAGATGATGATGCTTAATGTCATTGAAACATATTTATTATAATAAAAACTTATATTAACATGAATAATACATTATTTTAATGATCACTTAATTAATGTGAATTAAATGAGTGAAACGGAAATTTAACGCTCATGAAAATTTTCTGAACAAGTCATAGTATAATATGTGAATTTGGAATATTAAATTGTTAATAATTATTTCTACATTTGATAAAATCATTATCAATTGACAAAATCTCATCAATAATATGTTAGACCTATGTAGTTCCATTTATTTAACAAGGATAAATGTTTGAAATCTAATTAATATCGTTTCATGTACATTACCTCATACTGTTAAAATGTTTCATATATTTTAGGATAATTTGATTGATATACTATATAATATAGACTGTAACGCTTTGATCCCCCAAATTCGTACGTGCGTGCATGCGATAAATATTTGTAAAGGTATTATACGTTCAATGGAATATCATCGTGAGCGTTCAGAAAATTCTTGCTAGATATTTGGGGTCAGGTGCTAAGCAAAAATCTTCTTTACTGCTTGTCATAATATTTATATGACATAGATTATAAAAAAAATATTTTTTTTCTTTGTCAAATAAAAATTTATAATTGAGTCGGTCGTTTATATAATGTTAGTTTTTTATTTGAGCCTCGTGTCTACTGTTGTATGTTTTATTTAAGGTTTAAAGTTATGTTTTTGATTTTATTGTTTTTTTATCAACCAGAAAACAAAGAGGATGAATTTTATAAGTATAAGTATATAAAATAAAGAGATATTTTGCTTATAGAATATCTACAAAGTTGGAGATAAGACCTGAGATGACTGAATAAGCCTCTCAACTATCTACCACGCCATTTTTCATCACATATTTAGGTCAAGATCAAACCAAATCATATTGTGTGGAGGCAATCTATTCTTAATAAGAGCGTAGATTATATTTGCAAATTCTCATCTTATTTATACATTATTCAGTTTCGAGATAAACTAATATATAAATTAAATATTTCAAAGAAATTAGTAACAGGTTGATGAGTTAAAGCACTATATTTTAGACCAAAGTTCTCTTTCTGTACATATTGCAATATTCTGATAGTAATAGTTGTGAATAAGTCGTATTACGCGTTATTATGTTTCCCATGTATATTATTTTTTTAATACAGTTGAGATTTCAATCAAAGTATTGCTTTATTAGTTTGGCACATTATGTATATTAATGTTTGGGAAATTATATAATTTGACGATGTCTGATTTCAATGTTCTTGTTCCTAATTTGATAGGCCATAAGATATTTTGCATTTGTTTCAAGATTCATTAAGTAATATTAGCATTCTGTATGGATTTGTATGTAAAATTAAACAATTTTGACTAACAAACTTTTAACTTCTGACCTAACTTGGTTTACATTCAATTTCCAATTTAATCTACTAACAGTGACTAAACAAGTAATTATGATTTACTACTAAATGAATTTCACTGTAATCATAAGGAAACAGTATAATAGTCTCATTTCCTTGATGTAAGCAGACATGGTGTGCCTAGTGTGTTGGTTTATTGTGACATCATTATTGACTTGTACTTATATAAATCAGTTTGAATTATCTCGAATTATAACATCAGGAGACCATTTAAAATTATCACATATATTTAAATGGAACTAATATTTTCGGATTGACTCCGCGATTATTTTTTTTTTTGATTAAAAACTACATACTCCCGACGTTTCGGTTACTTTACAGCAACCGTGATCACGGGCAGACGAGATGTCTTAGAACTCATTATCACATATATTGCATAAAAATTACCGGTGATTATTTCATTTAAATCTTATATCAATTATTTTAAACCATTATGTATAATATTTTAGATTTCCCCTTGTTTCCTAATAAAATATGAGGTGAAATATTTTCAATTAATAATCTAGATGGTTTCTGACATAAATATCAAAGAAAAGGTTTATAAAACAAAATTTTTTATTGTATTTATTTATTGTCATTACTTCTTATGCTTAACATTGTTTTGTATATGTTCTACTAAATAATAGTAACGTAGACCAATAAATAAAAAAAAAACTGTGTAGCACAAAATATAAAACAAATATTTTATATAAAAAAGTAATTTCCATGACAACTTTATGCGAATAGATACATACGTTTTCTACATCATAAATAAACTTTGTTTAAAATTATAATTGATATTAGTTTAAGACATAAGAAAACATTTGGAAAATAAATAAAAGCTGATATTAAAAGCGTAAATGTATTTATAAAACACAAATACTAAGTCTCTATTGAAGAGAAACTTTTATTTATTTACTTCGTTATTTTAATACTACTTAAAATTGTTTATTGTATTGTCTACTTGAAGCTAAAATAAGTTGAATGAACTAAAACAAATGCTGACTTAAATTTACATGTAAAAGAATAAATTATAAAATTATAAAAAAAAAACATTCATTTCACAATACCGTATTCGATGACATTGAGATAAATGAATTTTTTTGATTGTACGTCATGAAATCAAAAAAAATTAGTGTCACTTAAACAGGGACAAAATAAATAGCCTCATGTGATTAAAGTAACATAAAGCAACAAATAATTCTGAGTGCCATAATGGATGTTGAGTGCTCGAAATGTGTCAAATAAGTACGATGTACTTGAAAAAGTAAAAATAGATTTTATATTATAAATAAATAATATTCGCAACAGTATATTTACGTTGTTTTTAAAGTTAGTGACAGTTTTATATAAAATGTCTAACAAATAGATGAGCAATATTATTATGTAGATTTAAAAACCGTGACTACAAAGGCATCGTTTTTGCGTGAGAACCTGCTAGTGAAAGGTTTCGGTTTTAACGTAATACTGTGCTATTATTTAATTTTTATCTTTTCAGAAATATTTGTCTATTTAATTAAAATATAAACTCGAGATTTCAATATACATATAATAATTCAAAAGCGTCTTTAATAATTACTTTTCTTTACAACTATTTATATTTCATTTATTAGTTTTTTAGTTAGGTAGAATTTTAAATAAGAATTCCGGAATAATTCCTTTAATAAATACTGATAAAAACATAAAACAAATCAGATATTAATAAAAAAAATCTGAAAACTCAACACTAGTTCAATTTCAACTTTTACTCTACATATTTTCAAAGAAATCATATTTTACGAGGGTTTAAGTGGTCATCATTTAAATTTCAATCAATCTTTTATGTATCCAAAATTCATATATTTTTAAACGGAAAGGTAATAACAAAGATATTTCCCTGAAAACAATCTGTTTAAACTGCTATTAACCGTGGGGATTTAATTGAAACGACTGTATTCAGAAAATGGATGAAATGGTCCATGAATTATAGGCTTTATGGTAACGGCAATAGAAACGAAATTTGGTAATTATCATGTTGCAAGTTCATCATTTATTGCTCTCATAAAAATTTATTGATCATAAAGATGACAAATTTTATTGGCAGCAATGTTCCGATTTTTTTATACTTATCAGCGATTTAAAAGACGTTCTCTAAAACTTATCAACTGTTTTTTTTATATTAAAGAAATTTCACCTGCATTGCGAGTATCGCATAAAATTGTATTTTTAAATTATCCACTTTTCATTTGAATTTAGTGAGCAATACACAATAATCTACATAAATCTTATTAATTTCATATTCATACGAAATTACTTGTTTTTCCTATTGTATATAAAAAATATAATTTTAAGGTTTAAAATAGAATTAAACGTGATTTAATAAAATAAATCCATTGATCTTTAACATTTACAACGTATTCTTAATTAATCCGCTGGGACTGAATACAGAACGAGAGATTCATTTTATTTACAGCCTGATTTCGCAATTTGTTTTTATTTTTTCATTTAAAAAAAAAAACATCACAAATTAAATTTTCACAGAGTATAATATTTCACACTATGAAAGCGTTACTAAATATAAAGATAGGCTTCGTACCAACACTATCTTATCTTTTATTTTTAACTCTCAAGATAAAGCACTCTCCAAGGAATTCGAATTTGTGTGATGACCCGATAACTTTAACTTGTTCTGAACTCATCCATTCCTATTACCCACTCAAGGTAAAACTAACTAGGCTCTTTGGGGAATTATTTTTACATTCTGGTCGGAACTTTTTAGAGGGATAAGTCAAAATCTTGTCTTTTTGTCTTCTATGATATCTATTCGTTTATTGGTATTACAATTTTAGTAACATAAGGTCGAGTAAAATTCTGTTTATTTAATAAGATCTAAGACTAACGTGAGTAATCTTTTAAATAAAACTAAAATTTTCCTATAACGACTCATTTTTTATTAGGCATTTTAAACTTCAACCACACAACATTAACATCTCGTCAGCTCGTGATCATGGTTGCTGCAAAGTAATCGAAACGTCGGGAGTATGTTCGTTGAAATTCGATTTTTTTCTGTTTATTATTAAAAATATGTCTTTTTTATTAACCATGGACCCGGCACCCGCACGGTGAACCCATTGAATGCTAAGAGGTTTCATCTCTAATTCACATATATTAATTCACTGAGTAAGAATTATAAATACTGAGTCTTAAAAGTTATTACCAACGTAAACCATGGTTAAAGTATAGTAAACATTTAAAAAAAGATTTGACATTTTATCTCATAGATTTTTTGCCAGATTACAATT